CTCTCTCTCTCTCTCTCTCATTCCCTCCCTCCCCCCTTTCCTCTTCGCCTTTCTCCTCTTTACTTTTTTAGGTGAAAGATGAAGGAAAGAAAGGGATGAAGAAGGAGGGGGTAGGATGGTGGTGGTGGTATGGGAGGAGGGGGGGGGATGACCGGGAACACTTAGCATCGATCCAAAAGCGATTTATGACATCCGAAAAGGCGCCGGGCTCCTGAACAGCTTTCTTAATCAACCAATCGCCATTGTTAGCAGCATGGTTTCCCTCCGTGTGTTTTATTGGCTCCCACGACGCCATTTTGCCTCCGGGTGCGATATTTCTGGACGCGAGGGAACCAGGCACTCCCGCGCGCTGTCCTGGCCCCCGAATGCCTCCCCGGGGACTGAGGGACGAGGCGCGCGGGGGACAAATCGACGGAGGACAAAGGCGGTTCGTTCGCTCTTACTTGACTGACGGCTTGACGGTTGCAGAAGCATGCGTAAAGGCAATGGAACGGGCGTAGATGTACACCGAGACGTCTGCACATGCATGGAGACACACGAACAAACACATACATGTGCAACATTTGTATTATATATAGATAGGCAGACAGGCGGGCAGGCAGGCAGGCGGGCAGGCAGGCAGACAGATAGTTAGATAGAGAGACGATAGATAGATAGATAGATAGACATAGTGATGTATATAAATAGATAAATTAATAGATAAATGATATTTCTTATTCACACACACACACACACACACACACACACACACACACACACACACACACATACACACACATACACACACACACACACACACACACACACACACACACACACACACACACACACACACACACACACACACACACACACACACGCACACACACACACATATATACATATATATATATATATATATATATATATATATATATATATATATATATATATATAAATATATATATATACATATATATATATATATATATATATATATATATATATATATATATATATATATATATATATATATATAAAACCTCTCTCTTTTAGCCTCTCTATCTACACACAGTTTCTCGTGCATCGCACATTTTATTCCCTCTGGTCCCCTCCGTCTGCCTGCTTGTGAGTCCAGACGCCTTCTCCTCCGACATCCGGGCACTTCTCTCGCCCTCCACCGCCCGCCGCCCATTTTTCTCGCCCTAACCCCCCCCCCTCGGCTGCGAGTGTGACATAGTTCAGTGCAGCAACACCCGATGCGGCGTGAGGGTCATCCGTGCGTGAACCTGATGGCTGAGTGATGACTGCTGGCCGATAACTTTTCGCGGGCATCCATGCTCTCTGAAGCTTGTTCTGTGACAGTCGCGTGTGTGGTTGCTCCTTGTGACTTCTGTAGCCCGTGTGTGAGTTGGGTGGCTCGCACTTTTATTTTGGAATCTATTACTATGGGTATTATGGGTAGATATAAAGTAACAGCTGATTTGATATCCATGTGCCGTGATATTTCAGATTGTTATTGATAATGCCCAGTTTAACTATCCATTAGATCTGGGACTCCTTGCTAGTACGGCTGAGGCTGATAACTGAAACGCCGATTCGACAACTTGTATTACAACTAAGATAACTATATTTGATATCGTTTCGTAAGCCTCTATAATCTCTAATCTGTTATTGCTATGACTAGTCCTTTGCTACTGCCAACACTACAGCCGTGTAATATTGTTTTTATTGCTATTACTACAACTGTCAGGACTACCGTTGCTGTTGCTACAACTGCTGCAGTTAATAGTTAAAACAGTGACAAAATAATAAAAAACATGAGAAAAAGTAGTGCTGATACTACTACTACAGCAGCAAGGACAACAACAGTAAATAACAGAAAAATAACAGATATCGTTACTACCATAACTACTATAAATGTTACTACTGTTACCACCTTTACCACTATTACATTACTCCTACAACTCCAACTACTACGGCTAGTCTCCTACAGTATACAGGTTATATCCTCCTCTATTACTTTTACGGCAATGGTACATAACTTCTGTAGTACATATGGCAGTGCAGTCTTTTTAAGTTATGTTATAGTAACAATAAATAAAATTGCCACTTCCCCTGCTATTCGTATTTGATAGCGTTGTATGATATCATGTTGAATCCGTTACATCTCGTGGAGATAAGGCAGGAAGGGCCACTGGTTGAGATAATTTTTCTTTCTCTCTCTCTGTCTTTTATGGACGAAATCGAAGGGACTGATCGTCTCTGGTCTACTGGTCTACTGCGTATCTTATTTCTTCCTTGTCGAGAAATAAGAGTTCAGTTTAGACTCTATATTCCGTAAAGATACCCACGGACTTGCACTCGTTGTAGCAGCAAGCCCATTATCAGCCATTCTAGTACCTGGCGTCGTTATCAGCTTATCAGCAACACAAATTGATGTGAGTCACTGTGGGAACAGATCGTGGTCGGCGGTTCTGTGTCAGTCATACGGTGTTTCTCCTCCTCGTGTGCGTTTTCG